GATCAAATATTTCAAGAACTGCATGAAATTGACCGTTGTCTTACCTGAACGGTCCTTCTATGGGTGCTGCGAAGGGAATCCAAACCCGCCCGCAGCTTCGGCTGGTCAGGGCTCCGTTTTGATATTGACTCTCTGACTTGTTACTGACTGGACTTGGCTCTGTAGTGCCGGCTGACTTGCGGCTTGTTTGAGGATTGACATAATGCTTCTTCGGTGGACTTCGTAAAGAACTGAAGAGGAAACGGAAGTCCAGTCAGAGGAGGCGTAACTTTGATATTTGCATACTCAGTCTCAAGGCTAGAAGGCTAAGTTAACCCATGATTGGATTCCCGGAGCAGCACACAGGAGAAGCAGGTAGTTTTCATATAATAACCATTTAGTGACTGAAGTTATGATCGTGCTGAAAAAAAGTAATTTATAATATCACCTCTAGCACTTACAATCATTGCAGCATCTTCATAGTCACAACTGTGATTTACGGCTAGGCAACTATCATGCAATTATGAGAGTCATAGCATTCTGCAGTCACATTATCATCATTTGGAGCCTTCCCAGCTGACTTTTGACAAGCAAAGATAATGGGGAAGCTGGAATGGGGTTCCAAGTCATGGTCACGATGTCTTGTTTAAAAACCATTTAATAATGTGGCAAAAAAGCTCGTAAAATCAGGTGTGGTCGTGTGATACCTCACTAATAAGTTCACTGAATATTGATAAATGTTCCATCCCTTATTTTGGTCAAAATTCAAAGACTACTTGTACTTAATATATTACAACTCTTTAACATACCTATAAATATGAAAATGCTATTACTTGCCTGCAAAGGTTCACTATGGGGATTGTGTATATTTATAATAGGAGAAAAACTGCTGTTCACTGGAACTTTTGCTCCTATAAAAGGCCGCAGTCTGTAAGGGTTTGGTACTCCTACTCCAAACACCTGTTTAGGGGAAAAAAAATTTAGTAATCAATATGGTCATTTCGTTCCTCCAAGTTTTAAAATTCACCCAATTCTCGCACTAAAGACAGTCCCACATCTGTTTCTGAATTTGAAGTTCATTATTGCAAGGTTTAAAGCCTCAGACATTATTTAATTTCCTAATCATATAAAATTCAAGTAAATAATTTTTCTGCCTTTCACCCTCAGTAGAAATGATAGTTTTATGTTATTCTCTAATATCATCTAATGTAGTAATAGTAAAAATGTTTGATTTGTTGATATTTTATTATCTCCTTTCCATAATTTAGAATACTGAAGTTAGATTATTATGTACATATTTATATAAAATGAATCGTAAGACTTTATGATAATTTATTTTCATACATTGATTTTTTTGGGAAAAACTTACTTTGACATTCAAGTATCTTCCTCTTATATTTTTAATATCATTAGAATCATTAGTACCACAGAATGTTCTTTACTACACTTCTTAAATAGTTTTTATATTGTTAAATGCACAAACTTTGCAAAGTTTAAAGATAATTTTGTGGGTGTTCTGTTTCATTGCACTACTGAGTATATTTCCAGCCTTCCTCATGTAATGTGTTAAAGTACAAATGCCAGTACCTTTAGGCAAAATAATTGCTTGCTACACCGGCTAGGATATATTTGTAATTCAAAACCTTTAGACATTACCATGTTGGAATGTTTTTTCTCCATGAATAATTTTTATTTGAGAAAAGAATGATCACTAAGGAATCACAAGTTTTCCAGTAGAATTCAATAAGAGAATGACCATAGCATTTCTTTCCTCTGAGGGCTATGTATTCAGATGTAAGGGGGGGGGGGAAGCAATCTTCCCACACAGATCAAAAATTTGTTGATTGCTCACTGGGAATGATTGAGTAATTGCACAAGCAGAGACTGTAAGAGGTACATAAAGTGGTAATTTTCCAGAGAACAAGATCATTGAATGAGCAAACAGGAGTTTAACAATAGACTTAGCAAGAGTATTTAAAGAAGAGTCCCTAACAATTTTTTCCCTCTAAGACTTTGTTTCTGAGAGTCTAAGAAGTGAACAACAATAATAAAATCTTCTGTGAGTAGAAATAAAAGCGTACGTCTGATGTGTTTATATTTCTACCCACCAACAATCTGGCATATACTTTTCTGCAAGTACAATGCTGTAATGGTGCTTGAAGGAAAATAAATGGCTCCTTTAATTCATAATATGAAATGAAGATTTATCCAATTAAAAAAAAATAGACATTTCAAGATGACTGGAAGATGGATCAATTCTATTTAATGAAGAAAATGAACCAAGGGAGCAAGCTTCTGGATAAGAATGACAACCAAAAACAAGACATAGTAGGGGAGGGGGAGAGAAACAACATTTTTTACAGCTTTCAAGCCCTTACAAAACAAACAAGCTTTGAATTACAGAGGAAGAAAAAGAGAGACTGCAAAACAGAACAAATAGTGGTGGATTCCTGAAGAAGTCAGGCCTATAAAATGAATCCTGTATAACCTGGAGATGAAAATTCAGAAGTTAAAAGCTTATTCTTATATACGATGGTACAAAAGTTGCTAAAATGGCATCTTTCACATCTCTTAATAAAACAAATAAAGAAATAGACTTTGTTATCCTCCTGTAATAATTACTGGGAATAACAAAAAGAAATACAATTTGGCCTTACATTTGGTGATATGACTCCTGCTACTGTATTGAAGAATACAATTTGTTAAAAAGGAACAAATAGGTAATAGAAAAGAAGAGGGACTTGAACTCCTAAAAGAATTTATTCCCAAGAGCATCTAGTTAATATAAATGTATAGTTAATATAAAGGGAGTAATAAATACATTAAGAACTGTTGTTGTTTACTTTCACTCATCTAAACAAGCAGAAGACATGTATGATATTTTCCCAAAAATATAAAGTATTAGTGATGGATGACTTTCATTATTTTGATATCTACAAGGAGGCAAGCCTGCCAAACCTCAGCTTTCCAAGAAATATATTCAAAGAGTGCATATCAATGTATCCTTATAAAACTGGAGGGAGGTATCAAGTAGGATGTCATGGTCTTGGGGCCTGTATTTTTCAACATTTTTATTAGTGACTTGGATAAAGAGATAAGAGAATGCATATTAAATCTACAGATAAGAGAATCCAGAGTAATGCATCTACAGAGTAATACATCTTAAAATAAATTCAAAACAATCCTGATGGGCCTTTGAAAATAAAATAAAATTCAAGACAAACACCACTTGGAAACAGTGCCCGGAATGAGGGATAACATATATTGTAATAATTCTTATCAAAAAGATTGTAGAATAGTTAACAAATTGAAAAAATGTTCAACATCATGATGTGGCTATAAAAGAAAACAGAAAAAAAAGTTGTGCAGGAGTGCATCAATGGACATGCGTTTCTGAATCATGGGAAATATTCATTTTAATTTAGTCAGTCAGTCTCCAAGGTATGTTAAGTAAAGTATTTATTTCTGGAGCCTTTGCTTTAGGAAAGATTCAAAACCCAACAGGTTCACACATGGAAAATGAGGGTGACATCTTTCAAATACCAGTTAGTGAAACCAATTCCCAGAAAGATATAAACTCCCATTCATTGGCGTTAAACCTATTCAAGAAAAGTCTAAGCAGCAACTTGCCAAAGTGGCTTTACTTTGGATTTGAGCAAATAGATTGGACTCTCTGACCAAAAAGCCTGCTATCAGGACTCCAGTTCTATGAAAAAGGACTTCAAATAATATAAACTGTTGTTAGTTTCAATTGTACAGTGTTATCTTAATGTACACTGTGTTACAAAGCAATATTACATTGTTCTTACCTGGTAAGTAAATACCCCATGATTAGATGTGTTAATAAATAATGTGTTTTCTACATTTCCCACAACTCTTGCAAGAAAAACTACATCAAATGATGTATTTCCTCCTGGGATAATTTTCTGGAAAAGAAAAAAAGTCAGAAGATATGCCATGCTGTTGATTCAAAAGTAGTGTATTAAATATGCAAAAGAAGAACTGATATATGCAAGCTATCTGTTAAAATCCCTGGACTAGGATTGCGAAAATCCAGATTGAAGTTCACCCTTAGACATGGAAGTTCACTGGGTGACTTTGGACCAATCGCCTCTCTAATCCCAATCTACCTCCCAGTATTGCTGTGCAGAAAAATGGAAGGACGAAGTGCAATGTAGCACACTTTAGATCCTGAGAGAAAAAAGCCAGAATACAAATCTAACAAAAAAGGCCTTCCTCAGTTATCAGAATTAGAACTATAGTAGTATAAACTGAAATCATTAAGTTTTTCCTTTGCAATACTTAATTAATACATTTGCAAATCCCTGGAGAAATTGATCTCTCATTTTTATTGAACTGTTCCTCAGTGAAGAATGATATAAACATATTTTAGTATATAGTTTACAATATCCCATATTTGGGATTTTGTTTAAAGTACAGTTTGTTATGATAGGGTAAAAAGATTCTACAATAACTTCACAAAGCAAAGCTAGCTCACCCTATTTTGAAAAAAAGAAGCATGAAAGTGTGATGTTGTTGCAGATATTGAAACTAATATAATAGTCTCTTCTGAACTGGGATTATGCAAGTAAACTTTTTCCATTTTCGGCATCCCAACCGGCCTGTATAAAAAGAAAGATCAGAAAAAGCATTTAGAATTTTTAATCTTTCATCAGCACAGTAAATTTATATTTGTAGGTCATAATGTATTTTGATACATCATGAAAAAAAATTCTTGTATATGAATTATCATTATGAATATCTGTCTTATTCATTTCTATAGGTGGCATAGGTGGTATCTAGTATTAAATTAACAAAACAAATAAATGCAAAGGGTACAAGCAGTATTTAACTCTTTATCCTAAAGCAAACAACAACTTGCACAATGCAGCAACACTGAATTGCATATTAAAGAATTACTAACTTTAACAAATTCCAAGAAATAAAAATGAAGTTTTTACATGAGAGAGAAGCTTTATACAAAGGGAATTAAACCAATAAATGAAAGCTTAAGCTATTATTCCGCAATAATCATAGGTTATCACTGTTAATTCTACAATGCAAGTTACTGCAGTAAGCAAGTAAGATTATTTAAGCAGGCATTTATATTAGAGACTATAAATAATCTTATTTATAAAACTATTGGCATGCTGGTTTGAAGCTTCAGTTGAAAATGGAGTCAATTAATATTCAAATTAAATATTATTTCTTCTATTAGTAATTAAGAGAACAAGCACATATGCTGTCTTTAAAGTACTGATCCATTTTTGTTCTGAAAAAAAAATACAGCACTGCAATTACAATTCTCAAAGACAAGTTTCTAGGGTTCATGTTTAGGGTTAGGGACAGGAATTATCAGACCTTTGAAGTAAGCTAGATCAGAAAAGACTCCAATAGTGTTATTCCAATCATTTTTTATTGATGTAGGCTACCATAACAGAAATTTGAAAGTCATTTAACAGCATCTCCCGTTTTTCCTTCATACTTAACAGAGTTAAGTTGGAACAAGCTTGAGTTCCAATGTTTTTTTAATTAGATGTTTTTTTAACTAGGGTCACATGGTATCTCCAAGGTTATCTTGGTTTTTCTTAAATAAAAACTAAACTAAAAGCAGTAGAAAAGAATGAACAATATTTTTAGTTAACATGGTTAACTAAATTAATATTCAATAACCATTCATGGTTTGACTACTATACAATCTTGTTTTCAAACAATTAATTGTTATGAATACCTTCACTGAAATAACAAACTTCATTTGTTCACCCATCCCCTGGGTTCTCAGGCCTTCTGGCATAACCAGAGAGACCTTCCAATCCTCAAAAATGATAAAGTTGACAATCTTGGGAGAGAGGGAAGAAAAGATTCCACTATAACAGAAAAGGCTCACTACCTGGGGACTACCAGATATAGCTCCCTAAATTAGGGAACTTAAAACATGCCCACTTTGTCGGATCTAATGGGATGAGAAGATGAAATTGGGGAGAGGTAATTTCTCAAATAACCTGATCCCATGCCCTACACCACCACCTTGAACGGGACCTCAAAATAAACTAGTAACCAATGCAACTTACAAAACATTTGTAACAGTTACATCTTGTGCACCAACTGCAACTTCTGTGGATCAGAAAATCCTGTTCACAGCCAATCGCCTAGTCACCTCCCTCAGGGATTATTGTAAGCCCTAGATGAAAATAGCCCTGGAAAGCATTCAGAAGCCATGGTTGGTAACAAGCCTGGACAGTCAGGGTTTACCCACTGTTTGGGAGCTGCAATGATTGCCAATAGGCTTCTGGATGTAATTCAAGGTGCTTGTTGCAACCTTTTAAGACAATATATAGATTATCTGGGGCATCTTCTCCATTATCCATCTAATGCTGGAGACTACCTAATCAAGTTGAATATGGTAAATTACTTCCATATCCTGTCTACACAAGAATGACATTGTCTTGGGCCTCATAATTTTTCCCATATCTTGGAATTCCCTTCCTTAGAGAGACCAGTCTTCCTTTTGGGTCTCAGGAGAGTAGTCATGACTGAATAGTTCATCAGGTGCAGGAAAAGAGCTTGGCATGATTGAAGATTTGAACATGCAGTTGCATGCTTTTGCACATTTTGTGTGTGTGAGTGTAATATTTGATATTGCATTTGGTTTATTTTAAGGATTTATTATTTCAGACATTTTTTCTACTAGGTGATGTTGCCCAGACGCTTTCCAGAATTGGGTGGTATGCAAATAAAATGGGGAACATAAAATAATCTCTTCCTGCCTGCTATTGAATAAGTTTACTTCTGATTTTAAATCCTCTGTGACAAATTTAGAATTCATGGATTGTAATATGTTACAATTCCTCTATATTCTGATTTCTTCTTCATTCAGGTTGCCAAATACAAACACAATACAGGCGGCATTGGTGCTGAAACTGCAAAGGTTTTCAAAATGACTAGTTACTCTCAGTGTAATGTAGCTTACAGGATATTGTTGTAGAAATATGAAGAGATATCTCCATATAAGCCATTTTGCATTCCTATAAAAATATGGAACTTAAATCCAATGAACAAATAAATACACCTTTCATTTAAATAGGATTCAAATGTACATATCATTGCTAAGCAGCAATCCTGAATATCTGACATGATATTATCATTTTTGGTCTTTTAACATCAATTTCTGCTACTGCTGCTACCACAACTGTTTGATTTATTATGTTTTATTTTATGCAACTCAAAATGTGCACATAATGTTTCCTCCTCCAATTTTCCCCACAATAACCACCTTGTAAAATGGGTTAGGCTGGCCCAAAGTCACCAAGTTGGCCAAAGTAAGAATTAGATATCATGGTCTCCTTGCTTATAGTTCAACATCTAAACACTTTACCTTTATATAACTCCTGACTTATTTCATGCTTTCTATTCAAGGGATGCAAAAATGGCAGCTGTTGTTTTGCACATGCACACACTGTGCAATTTGACATAATGAAAAATAAGCTTACACAATAGTTTCTGGAACTGAAGCCTTGTACAATTTTTATCTGAAGGCGTTGTTTAGTATATTGATTAAAATATTCCCAACTTACTGTTCATGAAAATCCAGCATTGGTGGTTCAAACCGAATAGGTCTGCAATTTCCTCGATACATAGAAACACTGTTACACAAAAAGAAAAGACACTCAGATTATAGCTAAAAGTTTTATAACGTTAACAATAACTAAAATTTTTATAATGAAGTCATTTTTACCTAAAAACGCACACTTTTGGGTGGCAGCATGCAGCACAGGAGAGCTGAAGCAACCAGCAAATTTCAACTCCACAAAATGATTGATCCCAGATTTTGGATGTATTCTGTAAATTAGCCCATTTGAGGTATCTTGGTTCAAAAGTTGTTGCCCTATGATGCACTATTTCACCCAGTTAAAAGTTATAGATATGAGATTTCAGAAGTGTACAGATTACAGATAATTTAAAAGCTTGCTTATAATAAAATATGTTGCATTAATGGGACCAGTCTGGGCCTTTGAATATTCTGTGATAAAAGAAAAGAAAATCTTTCCTATCATTTTGGGAAAAAGAATGGTTACTTTTCAATTCCAGGTAGCTTTGGATGACACAGTTTATTTCAACCAATTTTAGTTTAGCTAATATCCTGATCTGGAAATGGAAATAGTCTTGATTGGACTTCTAATTACAGACATAAGAGGAACAGACTTCTTTCAGTGGCTATTATTAACTATGATATCCCACTGGGTCAACTTGCCACAGAAGTATGGTAAATCAACTCCTGGAATCTGCAGGAATGTTCATGAATGTGATGCTGAGATACTATACAAATGATATTTGTTCTTTAAAATAAAATGGTTCCATTCATAATTTCCTACCAGCTTTTAACATTCATATGACATTAGTGAAAATAATCATCAGGGAATTTAGCTTAAGTACAACAACAGTGCAAATCTTATTATAATTATATATTATACTATTTATTCAGACAATTTCCAACAAGACATTCATTATAAAAGCTGCAATAAAATAATATGAAAACGAACTCTATTATATTCAATATAAAATAACCTTAATCAATACTGTATGTAATTCTTATTTAAAGTGATGCGGTGGAAACTTGAATGCTTATTTGGAGACAGTTCTGACAGGATTATATGTCACATACAGAGTTATCTTTATTGATAAAAATGCAGGTATATATTGTATATCTTTATTGTGATCCTAACACCAGTACAGATAAAACAATAAAAGCAGTAACAGCAGTAAAAGCAATAGATTTCATTTGCACATTAAGTCAAAGCTAAAATAAAGACTATTGCCTTCCAATAGAAATTGGACACAAGCTGAATCTAGTTCATCAGGATCACAGCCAATCAAGGAAACCTTTTATCTCTTTAGAATGAGCAACAGAAGATGGCATGTCCCCATATTTTTACCTCTCCTGTATTAGAGGAATAAAGCTATTAAACTACTGGGTGCTGTTTATACTTACTCTTCAGTACAGCAGAAGGGAGGATTTAGCATCTTATCAGAATAAAAGGTTTTCTGTGGCTTGGTGTTTCTAATTATGAAAGTATCCTTGCAGGAATCACTAAATATTTGAACTACTCTAAGGCTAAACAAACCTGGTACCTTTTCAATTTTCCTGGTATTCTATGTCAAAGATTATTTATTTAACGGCTATCTTAGTCCTGTCATAATCCAATGTTAGGGGTAAATACAGAAGGGAATATTTTCAGTTGGATTGATTTGATCCAGAAAGATTGATAAGCATTGTGGAGGAGGGGTGGGTGGGTGCAATCCTATAGGGCTATATTTTAATACTTTAATACCATAATTTTAAAGATACAATATACAGACTTGCCTTCACCTTATTCATATTTGTCTCCAGTCAAAGGATATCATTTGGTGCACTTCAAGAAAGTTGTAAAGCTGCTCTAAGAGACTGCACTTGTTCCAGAAGGGCAAAATGAGGAGGCAGAGACTGCCTGCATCTCATAAGTAATTCTGTCTTTGATTTTGCCTGAGAGATTTATCACTGGTACTAAGAAATATTCCTCATCCCTGTGTAGAAACTTAAGGATGGCACCTGAGGATTTCTGTCCTATTGTGGTTGTATACCAAATATGGACCTTTTTGAGCCCAGGCACTCTCAAACATTTAAAGCTGGTAACCTGTTTAATTTGGCAGCATCTATGTGCCATGAGCACAATTTGGGACTCTTGAATTTGGATTTTGTTTGTTTTGTTTGTTTGCTTGTTTTTGATAATCATAAGATAATCTTGTTTACAAGCATTCTGCTAGTTCCCTCAGAGACCTTCTCAAAGTGACTAGTGAAAAGAAACAACCAAGACATGCTCTGCCTAAAATAAAAGGAGCTCTGATAGTCTCCCAGTTGATGAGTGTGAAAGGCTACCTTACTGAGGCATAGATGCAACTGCTGTCTTCTAAAGAAACTGATATGCAATTCGGATTTTTTGAGATAACGTACTGTTTCCAACTTTAATGGCCACTAATTCATTCTTGCTCATGATTCATGATGAATAATATACCATATTTTTTGGAGTATAAAATGCACCTTTTTTCCTCAAAAAGGAGGCTGAAAATCTGGGTGCATCTTATACATGAAATACAGCATTTTTTGCCTCACGAAGCCCCGCCCCTTACCAAAATGGCTGTGCTTACGCTTATGGAGGCTTTCAGAGAGTTCCTGGAGGCTGGGGAGGGCAGAAATGAGAAAAAATGGGCCGTTTTTGCCCCCCCCCAACCCCCAGCAGCACTCTATAAGCCTCCATAAGGCTATGCATGGAATTTTTTTGACAAAAAATGAACCATTTTTTGCTTGTTTTGGGGCCCCCTGTCCCCCCAGGAGCACTCTGCAAGCCCCCCCCCAAGGCCATTCATGCTTTTTTTTAAAAAAACAATGGGCCGTTTTTGGAAGGTTTGCAGAATGCAAAAACTCCTCCCCCCTTTGGAAAGCTCTTTAACTGATTGATGAGAATTACATTGATCAAGTGCTGTGCCAGAAGAAACAAAGTCTTAGGTGCTGCA